AATACCGCCTCCGAACAACCGCCACTTCGGCCCATACATGGATTCAATTTGAAGTCTCCAGCCAACAGACTCTATTGACCGAAGACTTGGGGGACTACATTATGTACCATATATTGGGCCTCAACTGGGCCTCATGAAAAATACTTGGGGGACTCTAGCCCATTATCTATGTATTAAGGAGCGAACCCTTATTCTATAAAAGGGACTCCCTCACTTTCATTGAAAGATCATCCATGATTTATGTATTGAGGAGCGAGCCCTTATTCTATAAAAGGGACTCCCTCACCACCATTAGAGAGCATCGCCGCCTACTGAGCAACTGTCTCACTGCGAGCATCAACTCTAGCCCATCACTTATGTATTGAGGAGATAGCCCTTATTCTATAAAAGGGACTCCCTCACCTTCAACGCCACAAGCTGAGCCAACCAAGGCAACACAAGCTACAAGCAGAGCGGCCTCGCAACATGTGCTACTTCTAGTTGAGCATCATTTCAGATTGGGCACCGCCTCATATCAAGCATTAGTTCTAGACGACATCTAGTTACTTCGGCCCACACATGGACTGAATTTCAAGTCTCCAGCCAAAAGACTCTCTTAACTGAAGACTTGGGGGACTACTGTTTATACCATATTTAGGGCCTCGTATTTAGATCTCGTACAAATACTCAGGGGACTTAAATGTAATTATGGGATAAAGGAAGGGGCAAATATGTAATAGAGGAGGAGCCCCTTATTCTATAAAAGGGGACTCCTACCCTCATTCTAGGGAAGGCCTCACTCTCACTCTCAGAGGCCTCATTCTCACCCTCAGAGGCCATTTCTGAAGCCTCTCACCCCCTCTCAAAGCTCCTCACATCCCCTAAGCTCTCTCTCCCTCTTCAACAGAGAAATATAATACAATCAGTGTGGACGTGGCCCAAACCTTGGGGTGAACCACGATAACTCTTGTGTCATTTACATTACTTGCAGATTCACGGTCGGATTTACGTTGTTCCAAGACATCCGGTTTTGTGCATCAACAAACCTAATTGATATTGCTCATCCTCATAGATTTATCTAACTATCTAGATGCAAAATTCCTAAAGGTGATCAGTCATTAGAAACCCGAATCTAGAATAAATTACCCACAAAGATTAAGAATTTAACATGGCATATAACCGGATAATAATTAACAAAGTACTTCGCAAATATTCATGTCATGGCTTCATCATAAACCTTAGAAAATAACTTAGTTACACATATAAAAAAAATAAAAGAGAGATAGAACCTAGAATCCATGGCAAAGCACGTCCCTAAGCTCTTCTTCACAAATTGCGGAGATGGTGAATGGTAGTATGATGTGGTTTATATGGGATGGATCTCTTAGAGAGAGCTTAGGGCACCTTATTTATACTAGAAAACCCTAAAAAGTCTGGGAGAAACTCTCCTAAAATAAAACAAACTCCTAAACAATTAATGACACAAACTAGGAAAGAATTCTTCTTGGCTTGGGAAACACGTCATCTGTCTTGCACGCCAGTTTTGGAGTCGATTTTTCTTCTAGAAAAATCTGTAAAAATATGGGAAATGTAGCCCTATCTCTTATCTTTCCAGGAATATAACGCACGTCACTAGGAAAAATCGGGAAAGCCTCAAAATCTTCATTCTCCCACAGCTGCGCAGTTCTGACGGGAAAACAACTTCTGCGGGATTGATTTGTAAAACTGGAACGTTTGGCTTCATGGAAAATCATGAAATTAGGACACAACGATCTTCAGCCTCTTAGCTTCCTTCTCCAATTGGCCTTGCATCAAAACTCCTCCGGAAAGTCGAATTATCACAAAAAACGGTTTAAGTGCGCACAATGGTTGAAACAGAGAAAATGAAAGTAATAAGGCTCTTTTATAATCAATTTCTTAACAAAACTTAGGGATAAATTATATGAAAATATGATAAATAATGCACCTATCAATGCTCATTGAAGCGAGACTTGATAAAAAGAAAAGTCATTGTTGTGATTGCATTCAACCCTTTAGGGTGAAGGAGGGTGGCAACGTCCCAGTTGGAAAGGCTGAAATTTCTACATGACTATTTATGACCACTGTTCTAAAAATCTCCGCCTAGCGCCGCCTAGGCCCCTCCTAGGCGCTAGGCGGCTGGTCACCGCCCCGATTAATACCTAGGCATTTGAAAATTAATAAAGGGCGCCTAGACCAGTTGAGACGCCCGCCTAGACCGCCTAGCCCGCCCAGACCCACCTAGGCACCTGCCTAGGTTGCGACTTACTTTGATAGAAAATAGATAACTTTCAATTTGCATTTAATTTTTTTCAATAAATTGTAAGAGACTTGTTGAATACTTAAATGGGCAGACACTATATACTTGTTCCCCATGTTTTCATTATGTTCCAATACTTTATAATATCCGCGTAATCCGCCTAGGCGCCCGCCTAGACCCCGTCTAGCCGCCTAGGCGCTAGGCCCTAGCCCGCCGCCCGACTAGCACCTAGCGTCTTTTAGAACTTTTATGACAAAGAGAGAAGTCTATTTTTAAGTGGTAGGGCTTCTTATTGATGTGAGGTTGTGAGAAATGAAATATGGAAAACAACCATACATGGTCATTCGACAAAACTCTGCAGGGCCCGTCCACAACGCTCAGCAGGTGTCGACATCGGCATTTGCGCAGCATAACTTGGACTCAATCCGAATGGACAAAGAAATCTTTTACCCAAGTTTAAAGTTTTTTTTAACATTGTAAATACGAAAATTCAGTAAAATTCAAAATGTTGTTCCTAATCTTTTCTGAAACGGATCAAAGAGTTTGGGTAGCTGCTCTCTCTCTATTTTCTGATTGGTCACTTCACTTTCTCCTCTGATTGGTCCTGCCTTTCCACATGATGGGAGTTCCCTTATATAGTAATCCAAATTTACTATTTAAATACGACTTTGAACGTATGTAACATTTTCGTTATAGTTCCAATTCGTAAACGGTTTTTGCATACGAGATCGTGGAATCAAATTTTATTCGAAAACATTAATTGTGACCTCGAAAGGTCTACAAATTTTAAAAGATTAATTACGAAAATTCATACCTTGTAAATATACGATTCAAATTCTAAATTAACGGAATTAAAATAAACTAAAAATAATGTAAACATGAAATATGAAATTTAATAACGAAATACGTAATTAATAGTGAAATTCCAAGAACGGGATTTCACAACTTATAAATAAAGTGGATTACTTTTCATATTGCTAATTGATGTGTCACGTTAGTTTAAAAACTTTGGAGGGAGAGACTAGCAAGAAAATGCAATTTTCTAAGTGGTGTGGGTACTCATTGAAGCGAGACTTGATAAAAAGAAAAGTCATTGTTGTGATTACTTTCAACCTTTAGATCATCTTTAACCCATAGGATAAAGCTTAAAATATAAGCTTTAAAACCTCTCAAACCATCTCCAACCATGGGCTAAAATAAGCCTAAGGAGAAAATATATCTCTAAGCTAGACTCTCCCAATGATTTAAGTCTGGCTTAAATTATTCTGGATCCACCAAACTATCATATTTTAAACATTTTTTTCACTTATAATCTAACTGTTATGATCAAACGATAACAAATTTAATGGTAAAAAAAGATGGATGACCCAAAATTATATCTAACGTCTAAAATAATTTAAGAAAATAATTTAAATCAAATTTAAGTTAAAACTTTGTAAATACTTATGTATTGTATGATTTTTAATTGCTTATCGAAATTTAAATATTTTAAAATTATAATATTCATAAAAATAAATTAGGATAATCTATCTAAATTTTATTTTCAAAAAATTTATCAAAAAAATAAAGTTAAGCTAAAATCATTATTTTATAATCTCGGACTAAAATAAAAAAAATTGGCACTATTATTCAAGCATGGAGCTGTATCCACGCACAGAGAAGAATTCATTTTGTTTCTACACCTCAAGTAAAATATTGATGTTGAAAGTGGAAGATAAGTGGTGGGATCATACGAAATATATGGCCCGCTTATGCCGGACGGCGAATTTCTAGTACTGTAATGTTGTTCTCACAGGAAAGAGTAAACAGAATGTGGCCACAGTGCTTTCATCCTTTAGTCGAAAAGGGTAGCTTATGTTGTGAATGTTGCCGCAGGAGGAGGTACAGTTTGTACTATCATCCTTAGCGTTACAAGTTTCACTGGAACAGCAAAGAACGAGAAAGGCTAAAATAAAAGGCCACCAAGACAAGGCGAAGGATCTGCTTCCACTTTTTTCCATGGAGGGGGGAGAGGGGGGGGAGGTGTCACTACACAAAGTAGTTCAGACGGTTGTATATGTACACACACACACATGTATGTATGATGTGAATTGGTAATTTAATCTTTGGTCGTGAACTAGAGCACCCTCCGTGAAGCTGCGGTATTGAAAAGTATCCAAGACGAAAAGTCATGCTATGTTAATGCTAGGGGCATTGATGTCAGTGGCGAGTTGAGATTTTCTGCACCTATTTTTGCCTGTAACCCTTATGTGCCTTTACTTATTGAACTAAACATAATTAATGTTAACTTGACAATAATTAAAATAATAAAAATAAATCAAATCCTCAGCCAATTAAACAAGGAACAGAGGGCCACAACAAAAATGGATGCAGAAAATCTCAACTCGTCAGTGGCAGAACTAAAAAATATCTTACAGAAAAGTCAGTTAATGATGGCTTGACACAGTGAGTCAATGGCAAAGACTGAGTTGTGCAATAATGCATTAGTCTCCATCTGCCCCCGGCCTTTCTCTCTCTAGACATATCTCTTTCGTTAATGTCTTTGGTTAATAGAGAGGACACTGTAGAAATACTACGTGTGTGTGTATATGTATCTTTGGTTAATAGAGAGGACCTGCTTCCACTAATTTCCATTGGGGAGAGAGAGAGAGAGAGAGAAAAGTCAGAGAGTGGTGTTTGACATAGTCAGTCAACGGCAAAGACAGACTTGTGTTATAGGAATGCTGTCTCTATGTCTTTTTCTTTGGAGGACAATGTATAATTCCTACGTATATATCTCTGCTTAATTACACAAAAGAACGCATTATTTTTATTATCATATTATTAGCTCAAAAATGCAGAAATGGTTCATCTCTTCCTTTTGCATATTGTTACTGGTTTTTTTCAAACTAGCTGGAGCAAGCCAATATATGTGCGCAGAATCCAAGTGTGCCGAGGATCAAGGCCCGGCTATCCATTTCCCATTGCGCCGCAGTGGCACACATCATTGTGGAAATCCTGGGCTTGAATGCAACCAAACCTATGAGCAGCCGATAGTAGTAAAATTTTTTTTCAAACACATAAATTACAAGAGTCAGGAAATCCAAGTCTATCCCTCAAGTAATTGCCTGCTGCTAAAGCCTGTTGAAATCCCAAACATGCCACCCTCTCCCTTCTCTGTGTCAATTGCTTACATCAATAACGTTACCTTATTCAGTTGTGCTACTCCTATTATGTATGAGTATCAAGTCCCCTGCCTCGGCGACCCTGGCAGCAGAATTTATGCCGTTGATTCTGACACGAGTTTAAAATTTCTCATCCCGGATCTACGATCTTGTTCAAAGATGTATGATGTTTTATCAGTTCCATTTGGCAAATGGGTGGGTAATGGCGATGTTCTTCAATTCAATTGGTCAAAACCAAATTGTACAGAATGTGAAGCAGAGGGAAAGAGGTGTAGATGGAAGAAAAATGGCGCCAACGGTGAAATTGAATGTCAACACGTGAGGAAACAAAGTAAGGAGAACATTATATTCATTGCTAGTTTTAAACATCGTTACATTTATGTCTCAGTAATTATAATTTGAAGGATATTGTCACTTGTCCGAACCATTTTTCTTAGGATAATAATTGTTCGTCCCGATTTAATTTGCAATTATCTTTTACAGGTAACACATGGAAATTAGTGGTTACAGGTGGAATCCTGGGTTCTTTGCTTCTTGTTCTACTGATGATTGCAGCATATCGGGTATATAGCGCTGATAGGAAGGAAAAAGAGAGTCGATTAAGAATTGAAAGATTCTTGGAGGATTACAAGGCACTCAAACCAAGCAGGTACTTGTACGCGGATATTAGGAGGATTACAAATCAATTCAAGGACAAGTTGGGCCAAGGAGCCTATGGAACTGTCTTCAAAGGAAAGCTCTCTTCCGAGTTCTTTATTGCTGTCAAACTCCTCAACAGTTCTAAGGGAGATGGGGAAGAGTTCGTAAATGAAGTGCGAACGATGGGCCAAATCCACCACGTCAACGTGGCTCGCTTGGTTGGATTTTGTGCTGATGGATATGTACGAGCTCTTGTTTACGAATTCTTCCCCAATGGTTCCTTGCAGGATTTCATTTCATCTGCAGATAGTAAGAATTCTTTTCTTGGTTGGGATAAGTTGCAAGATATTGCACTAGGAATAGCCAAAGGAATTGACTATCTTCATCAAGGATGCGATCAACGAATCCTGCATTTCGATATCAAGCCCCATAATATTTTGCTAGACCAAAACTTCACTCCAAAAATTTCTGATTTTGGTTTGGCCAAGTTATGTTCCAAGGATCAAAGCATGGTGTCTATGACTACAGCTAGGGGGACCATGGGGTACATTGCACCCGAAGTGTTCTCCAGGAATTTCGGAAATGTGTCTTACAAGGCAGACGTCTATAGCTTTGGAATGCTGCTGATCGAGATGGTAGGAGGAAGGAAGAATATTGGTTCAACCATAGAGAACACCACAAATGAAATTTACTATCCACAGTGGATTTATAATCTTCTAGAGGAAGGGGATGACCTACGAATCCATATTGGGGAAGAAGGAGATGGTAAAATTCCAAAGAAACTTGCAATTGTAGGGCTATGGTGTATCCAATGGCACCCGGTGGATCGTCTTGCCATGAAAATAGCGGTTCAGATGTTAGAAGGAGAAGGAGAAAGCTTGACCATGCCGCCTAATCCCTTTGTGCCTACAGGTCCTACAACTAGAAATGGGAGCATTCCAGCAAGGCGCCTAGAGTTGGAAGCAATTGCTGAACTAGAGTAGATATGTGTGTGTGTGAACACCAATGTATGTAAGATTAACATTGAACGTGCAATCTTTCAGACCCAAATTAAGGGAGTCTATATTTTTTTTTTCAACACCTGTATGCTGTATGTTTCAACAATTTGAGGTACTCAAATTCATGGAATGTAAATCAATTAAAAATTGAAAGATTTTTGGAATTATGTGTGGTGTCCGAAGATATATACTTCTTTTATTAAATTGATAAGGAAGATGAGAATGGAGTGTAACAGTTGAACAAATGAAATTTCAATGATTTCTGAAGGAGAATGATTTTCGAACATTATTTCCTTTCTACTACACATTCATGTTTATTTCTGATCATTGAATTGGATAAATCAAAGAAGAACAAAAAAAAAAAAAAATATACAAAAATGTAAAGAAAGATTAAAGGTGATGCCAAGATTAAATGTGTTTGCAAATTAATTCTCATCAACTTCTTATTTAATTAAGAGGATGTGGATGTTCATTGTGTTGAGAATGGTGTTGAGAATGAATCTAACGTTGATGGGAGAAAAAACTTTGCATGAACTTATAAATAAAATGGGTTACTTCTCATGTTGCCAATTGATGCGTCGCTTTTAGTTAAAAAACGACTTTGGAGGGAGATACTAGCAAGAAAACACCATTTTCTAAGTGGTGGGGAACTCATTGAAGCAAGACTTGATAAAAAGAAAAGTCATTGTGGCGATTACTTTCAACCCTCTAGGGTGAAGGAGATTTTTAAGTGGTAGGGCTTCTTATTGATGTGGGGTTGCAGATGTCGACATCGCGGCATAACTTGGACTCAATCCTTCGGGACAAAGAAATCTTTCACCCAAATTTAAAATTTCCTTTCTATCTTGTAAACACAAAAATCCTGTAAATTTCGATGTCTACATACGTAATAAAATGTTTACCCTAAAATTTCAATAGAATGTTATTTATTTCTTTATTACATTTTCAAATTTTCAGAACCTTAACCAATCCGAAAAATGGAATTCCAGACGCGGGAAAGGATGAAAAATCAACAGCATTCAGCCACTTCGGTTGGAGTATGTTGGGTTCACACAATGGAAAGGAAAGTTTACATTGATATTCAAACTGATTGAATCCCTCCTTCTCATGACCTAGCTGAAAGAGTCATTGTGAGCTCCCTATTAGAACATGCTTGGTTCTGATCATTATCCTGAATAGTTCCAGCATGCATCTCTTGTTGTGGGAATAGCAAAGGCTTTGGAGGCATTTGTTGGCTTTCAGCATCTCCTTCCAGCATCTCTATAACTTTCTTCATGGACGGACGATCACTCGGCTTCATTTGAATACACCACAAGGCTGTTATAACCATATTTTTAATGATTTTCTTTTCTTCCTCTGCAACATCCCCCATCTCTAACTCCTTTCCGTCACTATATTGATCGTACACCCATGTGGGGAAGTAAATTTGGCTTGAATGCTCTGCAAATGCATTTAAATTTTTCTTTTTGCTCGCCATTTCCATTAACAACATTCCAAAACTATAGACATCAGCTTTGTATGAGACTCCTCCAATATTTTTGTAGAATAACTCTGGAGCGATATATCCCATCGTTCCCCTTGCTGCTGTCAATGTGACAATGCTATTATCTGTTGGATATAACTTCGCAAGACCAAAGTCAGAGACTTTCGGAACAAAATTCTCATCAAGAAGAATGTTGTGAGGTTTGATATCAAAATGCAGAATCTGCATGTCACAACCTTGATGCAAATATTCAATCCCTCGAGCCACTCCAAGAGCAATCTCATACATTTTCTCACAACTTAAAGGAACACTTCCATCTTTCGAATAAATGTATTTATCAAGCGACCCATTATACATGAAATCATATACTAGACCGTGCTTTGATCCTTCAACACAATAACCGACAAGCTGCACCACATTGACATGGTGAATCCTTCCAATTGTTGCTACTTCACTAATGAAATCTTGCCCATTAGCTTTGGATTTATTACCCAAAATTTTAATTGCGACAAAACGTCCACTGCGTAACTTTCCTTTAAAAACAGAGCCGTAACCTCCTTCTCCTAACTTTTCGGTAAATTTACTAGTCATCTTCTTAACGTCTGAGTAAGAGTACCTTATTGGCACGAAGTTCTTTTCACTTTGCAGAAATTCTTCAATGGTGCTATACATTGACAAATGCCTTCTTTGCCATTTGTAAATCAGAAGTGCAATCACAAATGGAGCTCCAAATATAAACCTCACCATAAAGGGTATTACTGCAAAAGAAAATTACCCGAAAATTATGAAAGAAGAAACTTATTTGTTGTGGCTCTTTGAATCCTTATAACCAATCTCACGTGTCTTACTGGCTATCATATTGCTACAATCAGTTGCTTCCTTTTTTTTTCCTTTCAAATTAATAGATTTTTGATCTCTAGGTAATTTAGTGGAAATCTACACTAAGGGTATATATACAAGGTTCTTTTCTTACCGATGAAAATTTCCAGTAGCCATCCAAAATCTGCAACAAATATAACAAAGAAATCAGAACTAAATGTCGTACTTAAACCAAGAATCTGAAAAGAGAACATATAGACTTAATTATACTAAAGGAACTACAAGCATTTACCGAAGCGATAAAGTGGTCTCAACACATAATCTGCAAAAAAGACGGACATGTGAACACAATCAGCGGATATACTAAATGTTCTTTGATCTCTCTTCTTGTTCTTCTCATTTCTAGTATCTATGAATGCCAAAAGCTAAAAGGGGTGTGATATCCACGGATAGCTTGGGGTGTGTGAATTAACAAGGGATGTGTGAGAAGTAATTTGGGGGTGTGTGGATAGCACACCCCAAGCTAAAAATATAAATGTTACTAGACAGGGTGTACGTGAAAATAATAACTTCAGAAAAATTGAACAGTTTTTTCTTCTGTATTTTCCTATAATTTCCTGAAACGGACATTGCTGTGCTTCAAACTAAATACATCGAAAAATTTGAGATCAATCACTGAAGATCACGAGTTGCTCCTATTCTAGGAAAGATTGGATAAACCTGCTTCTAATTTTATCTAATTTTCTTATTCCTTGATGAAAGGTTTTGGAGTATCGTAACGAAAAGAGAAAAAAGAACCAAATTAACATTTGAATTTCTTACCTTGAATCAGCTCCAATAGAAGTCCAAAAAAACCTGAAGTAACAAAAAAAAAAAAAAAAACGTTTATCAACTCGTAAAACAAGTACTTCTGATAACTTAGCGAGACAAAAACCTACAATATTTTTTCCTTTTTGCTGAGAATAAAGACGGACCAGGGATGCTGTGCGGATAACATTTGATAACACCAACGGCCCTCCATTGGTCTCTGCCACAATTAACATAGATAACAGGTGATCACGTATACTGAAGCTCAAAGCCATAAACCAGGGCGTTGTGTATGTATTGATAAGAAATATTTGCGTAATTTTCGTAGTTAAACAAAGTACTCATCATAGTCATCCAAATTATACCGCATCCATCCTCCAAATCCGCTGCCGTTGTATTTCCGACCATGGCATAACCACCACTTGTATTAATGCATGGAGCAGTGGGAACATACAGACTTGAATTCACTGGATTTGTACACTTGAAAAACATTACCAGTGTACTTGATGAAAAATACGGACTATCCGAATATCTGAAGTTAGATTCAGATAAAGGATATCTCGGAATGGAGGAGCAATTGTTCTTGTGAAGGCCAGGATCGACAACTCGGATTGTTTTGTTACGGTAGTTGATGGACTGCACCAAGTATTTTCCAGAAGATATGTGCAGTACCGTAACGTTATTTTCACAGAACAAAGTAAAACTAGAGTGGCCGCAACGCTTTGGACTGCTGTTTAGTCGGAAGGGGTAGCTTATGTTGTGGATGTTGCCGCAGGAAGAAGGAGCACACTTGTGGTTAACTTCACGTAGAGGATTTACAGAGTACACGCCAAGAGCACTTGTGTTATGCACATTGTGGCGATCCTTGGCGTTACAAGTTTCAGAAGATAATAAGCTAATAACAAGAAACAAGGTAAAAGAGATTTCGCTAATTGCCATAAAGAGAGATCAAAATGTCAGTTTTTGGTGAGAGCAACTTTCATTCCATGTATTGAATTGTAAGTGATGAATGTTCATGGGGATAAGATGTGAATGGGTAGCATGAATGGTTTGACTAGTTGTTCCTATCTCATTGCAATGATGAATGCAATAATTGAGAGCACTGTTACTTTTGACTTGGTGAAAATTCTGCTTCAGTAAACAGTTTTTGTTGATCCTTGGAGTGCAATTAAGCGTTATTATGCTGGGAGAACAACTTTTCTGAAACGAATATACTATTTTCATGATTTTTCTTGTCAATCGCACAACCGTTATGTAGAGAAAAACTTGCATGTCGCGTTGTATAATTGGCACGGGACACCAGAGTGGCGGTGCACTCATGAATGTCTTTCTCCTATCCTGGAGTAACCGTATATGCCGAATCAATTAGGAAACAATTAATTAGGAAGAGATCCCATAATTAATTCCAAAGTATTGCAGATGACACTTTACCACAGTGACGGAAAACAATTATACCTGTAAATCAAAAGATAATCAATGAACATAAATAAACCAGGTGTGCAGAAGAAAATAAGCAAATCAACCAAAACCACACAAACATATCACTATGCAACAACATTGGGTGCAAGTCTGGATCTACAAGCTGGATTTTGAGATCCTATTTCCGTTACCCACAGCTTAACATACATAAGCTTCAGCATAAATGTGGTACTTTATGAACCAGCATAAACATGATATGAGCGAAGAATGACCTTTCTCAACAGACTCAATGAAATTGAGTAAGATGTAAAAACAATCCCATAACAGATAAGAAAGATCATAAAAATTCCAAGTTTTCCCATTAGTGTTTAAGAAAAGATGCCATGAAGAACATCAATTCTCAGTGCAGAGCGATTCTCACTAAAGTTTTGTACAATATTATTATTCATGATTACTTCCAAAGGAAAAGTTTTCAAGAACTGCAATATTGAATGAAAGCCAGTCGTATTATAAGAAAAATGTCTCAGAAGCAATAACCGACTAAAATTAGAATAAACCAGTCAAAACTCATCAGTGGCACAAAATTACCTAATCTGGTTGAAGTAACTATAAGAATTAGTAGATATTCTTCAGTTGAAATGGGGAAATAGAGACTTAAGTTGCATTGCAGACTTCAACATTAGGTGATACATAATCATCCAACAAATACACTATCATCTTCATGAATTGTGAAGGGAGTCCAGGACCAGAATACATAATCAGACCCATTCCAATATAAGACTTCATCAATGCACATTCAGTGCAAGAATTGAAACAGAAACTTCCCTGAAAACAAGAACGTGAGAATAACACATCATCAAGGAAGATTATTATGCAAGCCTGCCATACACCACCTTTCCAGCTTAGAATGCTCTAGATTCATAAAAACATTTAAAGAATATGCATGAGTAGAAATCTAACATATGCGCTTATACATAACAATAAGCGTAAATGGTATTATATGCATACATCTCTATTTTAAAAATAAATTCCTTCCACAGAGGTGTTATGTGGTTAAAATTTTGTGATAGAAGCAATGATAAAATATTCTACTGCATCAAGTGAAATAAAGGACATGTGGTGTAATTTGTTAGTACTCATGCAGAATCGCTAGGCCCTCAAACCAGCCACATAACCCAAAGGGATATGAAAAGGGGCAGTCGCCCACGGATACTCTACACTTTGAAAGAAGAGGCATGATTTTGGTGTTAAAAACAAATGTACAGACGTTTTACTATAAACCTATGTTCTGTCTTTACCCTTGCGCCCATTTGTAAGACCAACTTAGAGCCCAAGAGCCATCAGTTCTCTCTCATTCATCTAGGATAAGCAACGTATTTAAAGTTATCAAAAGCAGTTGCTGAAGGAGCTGCAATCTTCTAAGATTCATATAGCCGATCCCACTCAGTGACTTGGATTTTCCAAGTCTCCAACCGAGAAGTTTTCCTCCCTCAGGAAATTAAGGGAACACTACCTCAACCTACATGCTCCACTCACAAAGCTTCAACATACAAGTTTCAACAAAAGAAAATTCAAAGAACTTAGCGAAGAAGGCTTTGGTGTATTTAACACAATACATTGAAATGAAGGAAAGCTTATTTATTGATATCCCCGATAAGTTACAAATATGTACATATACATGAGTCAAAATAAACAAACATGAGGGAGTCTTCACAAAGGTTGCTTAGGAGAAGTCTCAGCAGTCAGTAGAGCGCCAGAAAGAGAAGGCACCGGAGGGGGATCATTCGGAGCCTCAGTACTGGACAAAACCCTAGAAGGAGGAGGCATCAGAGGTTGATCATTTGGAGCTTCATTACGCGGTACAGTCCCAGAAGACGAAGGTAATAAATGCCTTTGGAACAAACTCACCAATTTCTGATGATCAAGTAAAACCTGACCATCAGATTCCTTCATCTGGTCAAGCTTCCTCTTCATGTTTGTAGCATAGTCATGTGCGAGCCGGTGCAACTGTTTATTCTCATGCTTGAGCCCTCTAATCTCCTGTTTGAGACTCATCACTTCAGCCGCCAATGATTCAACTTGGCGGGTTCGAGCAAATAGGCGTTGGGCCATATTAGACACAGAACCTGCACACTGAACACTGAGAGCCAGAGAATCCTTAACAGCCAACTCATCAGACCGTTTGGAAAGTAGTCTGTTATCTTTGGGAGTGAGAAGGTTCCTGGCCACCACCGCAGCGGTCATATCATTATTCATCACGGAATCCCCAACGGTAAGAGGACCAGTAGGGGAGACGAAGGATGGGCGTCATATGTTGTCTGGAGAAGGCGTGGTTGCCTCTTCAACAAGGTTCAAGTCAAAACGACGGTCGGAGGGGCCAGACATTTTCAAAAGTGTTGAAGAGAGAAGAGGTCGGACAAATCAAGATCTTAGAAGTGCAAGAATGGAGCTTCTACTAGTAGAGATTCAAGTGTGCTTTGGAACTTAATGTCAGCCTCTATAAAAATCTGCACTCGACGAAGCTTCAGAAATCGAAGAGGCGCCTGCTCAGAAATCGAAGAGGCGTTTGCTTTCTCAAAAGCTGGGCTGCTCAGAGACCATGAGGGTCAATCTCAGAAATCGAAGAGGCGTTTGCTTTCTCAAAAGCTGGGCTGCTCAAAGACCACGAAGGCCGATCTCAGAAATCGAAGAGGCGCTTGCTTTCTCAAAAGCTGGGCTGCTCAGAGACCACGAGGGCCGATCTCAGAAGTCGAAGAGGCACCTACTTTTCTAGCCTTGTCAGCACCTGTCACACGCACACTCAGCTTTGCAGAAATTATGGGCATTCTATCGAAGACTTCTGGTGAAGTAGAAAGCACATGAATCTTACTGTTCAATCACCCACTTCCCACACGTAACATTAGCTCATGGGTACCACAGATAACTTTGCCAAAGTTCTCCGAAAAAGTTGAGACACGTGAAGCTTGCAGCTCCCACTACAACGCTCTGACCAAGAAGGGTAAAAGAATAGCAAAGAAACAGCACTAACAAAGTTTAGACATATAAATTTTGAAGGTCTAGCTACCATATTATTACCCACTAGATTTGATAGACTTGTTTTGACCCTCAAATTCTTCAGTCGGCCTTATACTCTGGAGGAAACCAGAAAACCCTCCAGCCCAGTTCAAGAATAAGCCTGTGGAAAGTTACTTCTTCAAAAGCAAAAGTATCCCATATCATCTCTTCTCATTTTTCTTCTCTTTATCCTTCATGTTGCCTGCAAGATAGGGAGAATGTGAACAATCAGCCGGAACTCGAAATCAAAGTTCTGATCTAGGACTGATTGCTTGGAGCTCTAATTGCTTACCTTGTTTGTCACCTCTTTCAACAGATCCCCTAGCTCGGCGACTTAGGGGACTCCTACTACATGGTTTGTATCGCGCTTGACCAAGCCTGAAACTACAAGTAAGCTTCAAGTGAAATTGATACATTACCTTGTGCATCTCCACCAGTTAAAGATACCACCCCTGGATGGAGGAAGAGTACTTCCGGAGGAAGAGTACTTCCAGAGGAGATGCCACATCTACCTATGAGACAGATAAGGCAAGTCAAGACGATACCACACTCTGGTACTTAGAGTTTCGTGACTACGAAATCATTCTCCCACAATATTTCCTAATGTCATTTGTACTAAATCATTCACTTGTACTCACTAAAGGAGAGTTTGAACCTATGTACTTGTGTAAACCCTTTACAATTAATGAGAACTCCTCTATTCCGTGGACGTAGCCAATCTGGGTGAACCACGTACATCTTGTGTTTGCTTTCCTATCTCTATCCATTTATATACTTATTCACACTAATGACCGGAGCAATCTAGCGAAGATCACAAAAAGCGATCGTTTTCGCTACCTAGGATCTGTCTTGCAAGAGAACGGAGAATTAGATGGAGATCTCAACCATAGAATACAAGCTGGATGGATGAAGTGTAAGAGTGCATCCGACGTGTTGTGTGACCGTCGTAGGCCACTGAAGCTCAAGGGAAAATTTTATAGGACGGCAATAAGGCCAACGATGTTGTATGACACAGAATGTTGGGCGGTGAAGCATCAACACGTACACAAAATGGGTGTAGCGGAGATGAGGATGCTTCGTGGGATGTGTGGGCACACGAGAAAGGATAAGATTGGGAATGAGGATATCCGAGGTAAAGTAGGAGTAGCCGAAATTGAAGGAAAGATGAGAGAAAATCGGTTACGATGGTTTGGACATGTGCAAAGAAGGCTTAGGGGTAGAGGTTCAGGGCCGAAGGGGTAGAGGAAGACCTAGGAAAATTTTGGAAAAGACCCTAAGAAAAGACTTAGAGTACTTGGATCTAACGGAGGACATGACACAAAACCAAGCGCAATGGCGTTCTAGGATTCATATAACCGACTCTACTTAGTGGGAAAAGGCTTTGTTGTTGTTGTTGTTGTTGATAGATAAGCAACCATATGCAGAGAAAAATGTAGCATTCCCTAAAGGACGACATATACCTCAATAACGACTTTTTAAGATCTGATTGCAAGAAACCTCGATGATAAGTATAAACTTCTGTCACTTTAGCATAAATAAAAACCAGACGTCCAATCTCAACCTCATCATTTTGAACACTCAGACGCGATTCTCTGTTATTAAGCCTTTACTCAATATTGTGTCCATTCCCCGGTGATTCCTATTCACATGAAACTACAACACTAACTCGAGTGATCAAACATCGCAAAGCTACACCTGACTTTCTGCAAATCAACACTATCTATGTGTCACTGATACTTGTGTGTGCTTGCTTACTAAAATACACATTTCACTACAACAACAATAATTTATCAAATTCTTTCGATATTACGCAAAGAATAATGCTAGGAGATCAAATTTTTTAAACTAAATTTGCAAACCAAATGATATGGTTGTAGATGATTAGATTATTAATTAAGTGTGAATTTACGTACTTGTTTCTTATTGGTGACCCATCATTTGGTTTTGGTCTCCTAGCATTATCTTTATGCAAATATCGCGCAAAATCACAACATCTGTAAATCTTTGCCAATCTCATTTTGGGCAGTGCAAAATGCACATATACATCCGCAATAAGAATTAATTCGTACCTTATCAGCATTTTCTTTCTCTTTCTCCGCGTTTTCCTTTTCAGCCCTCTGCTTCTCCAATTTCTCCCTCTACTTGTTCTTGACAAATAAAAAGAAAATTAACAAACCAGAATTTGATTCGATTGCAGAAAATCATTAAATCAAATATCAATTTTGATCCGAACAAAAGATAATAACATAAGTATTGATTCAATCTGATTGATTTAAATTAGTATTAATAAAAATTTTAAATTTAAAAAAAAAAGAAGAAAAAAAGAGAGAGCTGCGGTTGCGGCTGCGTACCTGGATGTAGACATTCTCGGCGGCGCGCTCCTCCTTGCTGGGGACTTTGCCTTTGCCTTTGCCTCCGCTTAAGTAGCGAGTGGGTCCCCGAGAGGACTCCATAGAGCGAGTGATCAACGCTCGAGTTAGCACTGCCAGGCTCTGACCAAATCTCATTGCCGCCGTCGCTTTGCTTTCTAGTTTGTCAGTTTGTTGCTACGGCTGATAGTAATGGAGCAACTTGTACGGTGCAGCTATATGGTTAACAACAAACGGAAATTTACACAAATAGCACCTGATCTTTTCTACTTTCTCCATTTACCTTTCGGACTCGACACGATTACACTTAATAACACTAATATGTATATAATACAATTATCATCTAGACGTAATTCATTTGAATATGTTTATTTAATACAGTCAAAATGATAATTTGCATTGGATATATGTAAATATTGTGGTCAAACCCTCAAATTTTTCCATACAGATCATGTGAATTTCTTAAGGTCAATATCGGGCAAGTAAAATGAAATTGAAAACACCAATAAAAAGCCTATCATTTTTCATTCTAAGAGTTGTTTTTGTCTAATTAGTTTAATTAATAACTTTAAAAAAAGGTATGTGAAAAATAAAATGATAGATCTGTTATGATGAGGCCTCCAACATCTGCAATCGGCATGAATTGAACAATATTTTGACCTGACAAGTTGGTTTGTGTATGTTAGATTATCAAACTTAACATTACTGTGAAGGGAAACTGAACGTAGATGGCATATTATCTATACACTAAAACCCAGTGGCAAAGTACTGGCACAGTGAAATTGCCCTCAATCAGCTTTCTTTGCCCGGTTGTTTTTCCGTCTTGGCACAGTGAAATTACGCATTTATCCACGTTGGCCACGCATCCATCATCGTCGGAACGTCTACTTTGACTGCAACTTGTTGATTTTTCCATCCGTTTCCAGTTCTTTTTCGAAAATGTCTGCTTTCGTTGCTCGCAACTCGCCTTCTGTCACTCTCAAACGCCGGGTAAGCTATCGACCACCCCTTCTCTACCTTCTTCTTCTTCTTTTTTCGCTTCTCCATGTGCAAATCTGATAGACGCCTACCACAATTGCTTCACCGGGTCCTCTCAGCATAAAATTAGAGCTCTTCTGGGATGTTGAGAAATTGGAGGTCTTCTGGGGTCAGATCCATTTTGATTTGGGGATCTAATGCGAAGAAAATGAAATAAAATTTGGGTTTTGGACTGATGTGGTGTTTGGTTTTATTTCCTGTTATAAGTGCTTACCACCTGTTTGAGAAAATGTATTAAACATTTTTTTGGGCCTTTTTAGATTATCTATATGTTTCGAATGTTTTTTGGTTTGTCATGTCTTGAAAGAGAGAGGATATGATATAAGGTAAGCCCCAATTCCACTGAAAGATTCAATTTAGTCAGCCTGGCTTTTTCTCTAGTTTGCCTTTTTGTCTACCTTCTTTAGTCAATGTCGCATTTCGAGTGCTTGGTTAGATCTCCTAATGGAGAAGATGTGGTGAATCAATCAGTATTAGCTAAGGAAAGCATTCGGGAAGAGAGGAAAGTGAAATAGACTATCTAAGGTAATAAATCTGAACATAGCAGTTGGCTCAAAAGTCACTGCTAATGAAAACGCTCGTTGTGGGTCATGGGTAAAACAATCGACTTAACTAGTTCTTGAATCTGTTTCAATAAAAACAAATTAGCATACGAAATTCAAATGTTTGGTATCTAAGAACAACCAGGGGCCTTACATCTCTTCAATGTAGCCTAGAAAGTTGAGCAAGGATGAGCTACAGACATTTATCCAGGGATTTCAAAGTTGAGCAAAAGGTTTTCATCTTAGAGGTTGAAGATAAGTCTTTTGGTGAAAGGATTCGAATAACTGAAAGAACTAGAATCAAAGGGTACCAAATTTCTTTCGATTTGGGTTGTGCTGCATGGCTCGTTGATCAGGTAAAGGAGGCAATAGTTAAAAGAGATCGAAATTTCTTCAGAAAATATGGAGGACATAACTACCAGTTTTGGGTCGAAAGATTTCATAACAAAAAACGGGGATTTCCTTGTTATTTCCAAATCAGAAAAGGAAGGTTTTGTCAGAAATATCTTCGTCCCTAAAGGTTTTAACTTTTTCGGATGGAGAAGTTTGGAGGACTTACTGTCTAAAATCCTTTGTGGGGGAAAGAGAGCGGGGGCTACTCAGAGGAAAGTGAAGACAGTCAGAAAAGAGTTTGTGAGCAGCCAAATGGGTGCAGGCCCTCAGGTTTCGTATAGGGACGTTGTCCTCGGAGGCAAGACAACGACAATAGTGGCACCTATTCGAAAAGCCAAAGAGGAAATATGGATGAAGAAAATATGGAATAAGAGAGACATTTCCAAGGAATCCTACAGTCGGGGGAGCGTAGTTGTTTGCGAGAGACAAGTGGTACATCAACCTTGGAGAGAGGTGGATGCCTCACTTCGAAATCTTCTGGGAATGGAAATAAGGCTCTAGCCCTTCCAATGCAACAAGGCGTTGTTTGTTTATCAGAATGAAGAGGAAGCATTAAAAATTGCTCAACTTGGAACTCTACCCATGAATAAGCTACCAGACGTGGTGCTGTCTGGATGGTGGGACAATATCAATTCAAATCATTGAAATGCGGTTAGTTATGGCGGATGGGTTGCTCTGGAAGGATTATCGCCACACCTTTGGACCAATAACTTTTTCCAGAAGGTTGGAGAGGCCTGCGGAGGTCTGGTAGAAATCGACCGAAGAACCGCTAACTTTGGTTTTCTACTTGAAGCAAAATTAAAATTGAAACCCAATGACACATGCTTTATTCCAGAGTTCGTTGATGTGGCAGATGGAGAATCAGTCTTCAGGGTTAAAATTCGTCAACTTTCGCCAGCAAAGAGACCTAATCTTTCAGCTGAAGAAGGTGGACTAACTAAATCACCATCTGGATATTTGAAGACGGATCTGAAGATATAGAGGATCATCAAAGCTATCCCTCCGGCGAAGGCAAATATGCAACAATCAATCCCCTCTCCGGGGACACGTGTCTATTTCCGGATTGGTGAGTTTGAATGCCCTGTCACTGTCGGATCTGACAGAAAGCAAGGTCTGAACAGGCTCTTGACAGAGGAAGCAAGGTTTGAGGAGTCTGCAACTCCTGACTTTACTTATTCTATAAGCAAGCACGGGACACCACTTCAAGCAGAAAGTCTGACAGAAACATCGAGCTTTACAGAAGAACCAGAAAGTGCAGATGCAACGGATTATTTTAAAAATTAAAAAAGGAAAGAAAGTCTCAGACAAATGTTCTTTTCGAAAAAAACCAAAGGCTTGGAAGTATGTGGGAAAGTAGGTGGCGGTGGTATCTCCATCGAATGAGCACAAAATTCTACAAGTGGGTATTATTTTAATAGATCAAAAAAGGAGGTTAGTCTTAAATGTAGAGAAAAAGCTTTGGTGGTGCGTGGGCCCCTGGTTGACAAGGATTTTTACCTAAGTGACTTTGTAAGGCTAGCGGGTCTTGACCCACAAAATAATTATGCTGGGTCATGTCTAGGCCCATTTATTCTAAACTTTGATGGGCTGAGATATCATTTTTAGTTAGGAAGGGAACTATCAAACAAGATCTTTTTGCACCCATCCCTATCGGCGAAACCAAAGATGTTGTTTTGGGTGCGCAACATGCCAAAGCTTACTACAGAGATTTTATCTCATCGACAACGGGCTAAGGAAGCTCATTTCGATGGTGATCCAAAAAGATCCCCCACTTGTTTCAAATTGAATTTCCTTAGGAGATTTGGTGAACCTGACAAACTTGGAAAAAGGCTGAAGCATTTTCTCCCACATGAATTCGGATCTTATTAGACTCCTTTTGAAAGGCCTAAAATGATGGAAATCCAATCTTCCAATCTCACCATCTTAGATTCTGTTTGTGAATTAGAGGAAGAAAATGAGAGTGACATTGATGAAAATCCAGTTCGGCCACCGGGCGGGTCGACAGAGGAGGAACCATCTGATCACTTGGATTCGTCTCATTTTTTCAGAAAGTGTTGAAGAAGAATACATGTCACAACCATCAGATTCAGATGAGGAGATTGGTGACTCTTCACAAGATGAAAAAGAACCATCCGATGTTTTTTATCGTTTCAACAGTGAGCTTCACAACCTCTTCACAGATACAAATTTGGAAACAAAGGCGATGTCGGAAGAGGCACCTAATCAAACGCATCATATGGTAGAATTAGAAGATGTGGAGCAGTCTAATTTCAAAGATACTGGAAAAAACAAGAAAATGTTAAAGTATAGTAGAAGGAAAAGGTCGGCTTGTGTATTAGTCAAACGTGAGGCACAAGATCAAACTTCCAAATTTTTGTCGAAGATGAAAGTTTCCTTGGTTCCTTTGAAAATGTCTTTATTCCATGAAATGAAGACTGGGAAAGTTAAAGTCAGCAAGATCGAGGGTGGAAGCAAGGGAGACAAGAAACTTCAAAGAGGTATTATCAGACTTAATGAAGATAATTAGCTGGAATGTTAGAGGATTGGGAAGTAGACAGAAGACACTGACATTGAAACAGTAGTTCTAACGTTTACAGCCCGATATCATTATATTACAAGAAACTAAGAAAACATCAATCGATAGGAGGCTTGTGGCTAGCGTGTGGGGAAACAGATTTAAAGAGTGGATTTTCGTCCCTGCACAAGGAAGTTCTGGGGGCATAGCAATAATTTGGAACACCAAACACATCTCAGTTACTGAATCTCAGGTTGGAGCTTTCTCTGTCTCCATAAAAATTAAGGCTCTCAACGGGTTGGAATGGTGGTTATCAGGTGTCTATGGTCCTTGTAAAAATAGAGAGCGTAAGGAGTTTTGGGAAGAAATGGCTGGCCTTTACGGCCTGTGCGAACCAAGATGGTGTGTAAGAGGAGATTTTAACATGGTGAGATTTGTAAACGAGAAATCAAATGGGGGAAGATTGACTACAAGCATGAGGAATTTTAATGATTTCATTCGAGAAACAATACTCAAGGATTTGGAAATGCTCAACGCTCAATTTTCATGGTCAAATTTCAGAGAAGAACCTGTGTGTCGGAGGCTAGACAGATTTCTGTTCTCTGTAGGTTGTGAAGAGATTTTTCAAGAGGTAAGACAAATGACTTTGGCAAGGGTCATTTCTGATAATTGCCCTATCCAGCTAGATTCCAACAAGGTGAAATGGGGGCCAAGTCCTTTTAGATTAAAAAACATGTGGCTACAACATCCAGATTTCAGGAACAAGTTCAACCTATGGTGGCAATCTGA